GATACTCGGATAAGATAGGGAGAACTGGCGGCTGTTTCCCCGCCATGTTACGGCGCTAACAAAGCGAAAGGAAAATGGAAAAATGACTTAAATAAGAAGATAATGGAGAATGGTGTGGTCCGTCAACACCCGGTGTCACATATTGTATCTATGGTATCTATATGAATGTATATATAACAACTGAGGAATTTATTTCACAGAAAATTCAAATCGTTGACTATAGGATAGGGGGAGCTATCTAGAAGACTGGGGAGTATGTTCACTTTCCTAAAAGACATGCTTAGTCTACTGGATGAAAGACAGCCAAAACCGCTTATTAAAATAACACAAACCTTTCGGATATGACGATGCTTCCGCGATCTATGAGCTTTGCATCTTCATAAAGGGAAATATTATCCTTAATTAGGTGGACACCGGGCTCGCCCAAAGCAGTAACGTTTGTCATTCTCACACTGACGAGTCCCGCGGGTCAAAAGCCCCTAATTCAAAGTCTCGACTTCGCATCAATTCAGAGACTTCATTCCGAATAGTTTCTGGGAGGGTCACGTTCTTAGCCCATAGCTTTTGACGTTCACTTAACAGATAATACTATTTTCAACCCTTTTCGGAGTAAATTTGTGTTCGGTGGAGATTAGCGAACAGGATTGTAAAAAGGCGAGAGCTATGTTCGCGGATTAGGGAATCTTTGAAATGTACAGTTCTCGATAATCCAGGTCGGCCTACAGCACATATTTGCATTGTAAATGATAAAAGCAAAATACAAGGGAGATTTAACTGCAGTTTCTTTAGCGAATAGACCGAGTAAGTGTTGGTTTCAGGAAAAGTATTACACAGCAGCCTGGAACACGTGACAGAGTAGAAAAACTGAACCAAATACCTGAAGACGACAATGCAAGCTCCAAATATTAGAACGCAGGGAAAGGGTAAGCGCATCTAATGTAAGTTGTAGGACAAAAACACTCTTGGGCAGGTGATGAGGACAAAAGCGACATGAAGAGAAACCTGCCAGTTTGGGGGGGGGGGGGGGAATGCCAGTAATCCGGGAATTACGCAAGAAACGCTGTTCTGCGTGAAGCTGTAGAGGTAAGTGGAAAAAGAGGATGGCCAAAAGGTAGGAAATTCAAAACAGGGTTGTGATCTACTTTTCTAAGAATGTGGCTGAACAGTTGTGCTACTTAAAAGAAGACAAAGTCACGATCAGTGGGTTCATATCCTTATTGGATTTTGCTTTCGAACTGGAACAGGAGTTCATCATCACGGACTATTGGAGTACAGCAACGCGTGAGCATTCATAACGTCGTACCTTGAGGGGCGGGGGTCGTGTCCATGGCTAGGCCTGGTTCATGCTGCCTGGCCGATAATTGTCTCCCGACGTGGTGACGGCGTCTGTCCTTCGTGTCGATGTGGGCTGCGTCACCTGGCTGCGTGGGCGTAGTGCGTGATAGCACGCAGGCAAGTAACTGTGTCTGTTTATGGAGTTTGTGTCCGAAGCCTACTCCTCAAACAGTTTACGTCCAGCCTTGTTGCCGGTCCGCGCCAATATACGCGTGTTGACGAAATCCAACACATGGCCTTCCTCTAGCGTGTTAATGGCGACTTGAGATAATGGGTCGCCTCTCCGAACGAACTGTTTATGCTGGAGTATTCGTGAGTGAAGGCGCCGTCCTGTTTGGCCTGACTGTCCTCGGCCGCGCACTTCGTCAACAGGAGGACAGGTTAATTGACAACGACGCCGCCATTGGCAATCTGTCCGCCGAGAAGAATCGACTACACAAGGCCTACATCACCCGCCCCACCGGCGTCAGCAAAGCAGTCTTTTACTGTAGTCGCCGTCTTGTGCAACAGTGGCTTCACAAGATGCAGGACACCTGTTAAGATATACAAGAATGATGGCCCCAATTCATGGATCATCCGACGGCGCTCTTCCAAGTGATGTGGTGTCAAGGAGAAGCCCCACAGCATTTCAGGGACACCGCAATCGTGCAGCTCTACAAGCGGCAAGGGAACCGCCAAATCTGCGGCGCCCGCTGAGACATTTCCTTGTTGAACATTGACTGGAAGATCTTTGATCGCGTCTCGCTCAACCGCTTGAACAACCATCTGGAGCATGGTCCCCTGATGGAAGTCTAGCACGGCTTTCGTCGTCATCGTGGGACCACGGACATAATCTTCGCCGCCCTTCTGCTGCAATAGAAGTGTCAGGAGCTGTGAACTCACCTGTACTCTACCTTTGTGGATATGCTGAAAGCCTTCCACACGGCGAATCGTGAAGGACTGTGGAAAATCATGCGGAAATTCGGCCGTCCTGAATGGTTCCCAGATTGTGCGCCAGCTCTAAAATGGCATGATGGAGCTCGTCACGGATAAAGGAGCTATCTCAGAGGCATTCTCAGCGACCGAGAGAGTGAAGCAGGGCTGCGTCCCTGTGCCTACTTTCTTCAGTCTCATGTTCTCTGCCAGGCTGATGGACGCCTACCGTGACCAACACACGGGGATCCGTGTATCCCACAGGACGGAAGCCAACTCCTCAATCATCGACGTATGCGCTTGCAGTCAGGTGTATCCACAACCACTGTCCACGAACTTACCAGGGCGACGACTGCGTTTTCAGCGCCACCTCGAAAGGGGACATGCAAAGGAGCACGCACCTCTTCGCCGCCGCCTGTGACTAATTCGGCCTGGTCATCAACACACAGAAGACGGTGGTTATGCATCAACCGCCGCCCGACGCTGCCAACATCAGCATGAGCGATGCCCAACTGCTAGTCGTGGACAACTTCATGTATCTGAGCAGCACCCTCTCCCGCACCTCCAAGATCGACAATAAAGTGGCCTGTCGGATTTCCAAAGCCGGCCCAGCGTTCGGCAGTCTGCAAAGCACAGGCGGGAAATGTCACGGTCTCCACCTCAACAATGACTATGAGCGGCAACCCAAACAACTCTTCAACGGAGATATCGACACGGGGTTCTCGCCGAAAAGGAGGCCCAGTACGCCTCTTTCAGGAAACTCTGAAGATTTCCCTCGGGAAGACTTCGTCCGAGACCGCCCCGACATGAAGTAGAGCAGTTAAGACAGGCGCAGAGATCTACGAAGCCAACTTTACCATCGCCGCCAAAGCATGAACACTGCTATCTGCCAGTGGACTAGCCAAAGTTTGGCCTGTCAGAAAGCCACAATAGGACTTCACAACAAAGCCCCAGTTGGAATCTTTCTTGCACCTAATGCCTGATTTGCGAATGTGCACGTAGATTTCGTGGGTTCTTTGCCAACATCTCGTAGTTGCAACTATTTGCCCAGTGCTATTGGCCGATTTACGCGATGGGCCATCGCAACTCCGATTCCAAACATCGCTGCAGATGCTTCCATTTGTGCCTTTTCGCAACACTGCATTTCCCATTATGGTGTCCCCACTACTATTACCACCGACCGAGGCCAACAATTTGAATCCGGGCTTTTGAAGGCTCTAAAAGACTTCCTTGGGTGCTTTCGCATACGGACGACAGTTTATCATCCCTCATCCAAAGGTCTAGTTGAGTGTTTACAGCGTCAACTCAAAACCTCGCTCCGGGCCTATGAAAACCCCACGCATTGGAGTGAACATCTTTATTTGGTCACGCTCGGTATCCGCATCTAGCTCAAACCCGACTTGGAGTGCTCCACTGCCGAACTTGTTCATGGGAGGGATTCCCAACGATTTTTCGGGCTATTCAAAGGCTTTGCCGATCCGCATGCAACTGATTATGCCCAACGGTTGCACCAAGCAATGGTTAATATCCCGGATATACCCCAGACGTACCAGCAAGTAAGTCGTATATTGATCCCAACTTGCTAACGTGTTCTTTTGCATTTGTCTGCGTAGATGACGTTTGTCAGCCACTATAACGACCCTACGACGGACCATCTCGAATCATGTCGCGGACGAACAAGCATTTCAAGATCGTTCGTGGCTATCACACAGAAGTGATATCGATCGGTAAGTTGAAGGTGACCTGTATCGACCTTCCTTCGTCCACCCCAAAGGATCCGATTTCTTCACCCTCCACAATGCATTCCTCCATCTCCCCGACTCCGCTTCCACCTGACGACCCTCCGCATCCCCCTTCTCTCCTAATTCAACATCCTATATGCAGCGGTCGTCGGGTCGGTTTCTAACTTGTACATTATGCCCAACACTTGACTAATCCATACCTATTTTTCCCGTTCGAACTCTGTCCTGCTGGGAGAGGGAGTATTGTAGTGACGCGAAAAAGCATTTTATTTTAATGCGTCAAGAAACTTTTACACCTTTCAGTATTAAGTTTTCGTCACGCCACATTCTTGCGGCTACTTTTTCTTTCTAATTCTGTTCGTGTTAGACCGGTTTATTACTTAGAGCCTCTAACGCGCCACCCACATGCGCCCTCCCCCACCTGCGGTCTTCTTGACTCTGTCTTGACACGGAGTTCAGGTTGGCGAGGAGGAGAGAGTTAGGTAGACGTTGTGAAATTCTACTATCACTGTATACTCAATCACGCACAAGTCACTGTCCCTGCTTTACCCTGCCGTGAAACACGCAATTCTATTTTACTCCGCTCAGCAGCCCGCATGAGGCAAAATAAAAACGAAGAGTATTCCAGGCCAGGCCAAACGTACATGTTATAAAAGCGCATTCTAATATTTTTACGGGCCGCCTGGTACTTGAAATCCCGTGGAGCGTATACGCACTCGACCCTTGTAACAATACCAATGCGGCAGAGAAGGAGAACGCGACCGGCCCCAAAAATGTGTATGAGGAAATTGCAAGTCAAAATTAACTGGATGTAACTCATATTTATAACGCCCTACTGCGCTTCGCCGGCGTTCGGTCCAATGCCCTTCGGAAACAACATTCCAGACGAGCCGGTGGATAATTCGAATATGCAGATCGATCAGACCCGAGAGGAAAAGCCAATGAAGAGGTGTCACGACTAAGATGACAGCGCAGTAGAGAAAACGCACGTGGCATCCAGTGATTCGCTGATTCTTGTTTTGGGGAGTGTAGGCACTCCTAACAAATGTCGCTAGTTCTAAAGTTTCGGGGAATAAACCCGGTCGTTCTAAGTGCTTTGCTGACTATCAGGGTGCAGCGCTCCGAAAGATTGAGTCTCTTGGATTAAGTCGCCAGGCTAGCTCATTGGGTAGAGCACGAGACTCTTAATCTCGGGGTCGTGGGTTCGAGTCCCACGTAGGGCGTACTTTTTTAAGCTGTCATTGAGAACAGGAAGGCTGCCACCACAGTGGAAGACAGTTAACTTCGTTCCCTTACATAAGGGAAGTAGCAGGATGGCAGCAAGCAGCTTCAGATTTATTAGCTTAACTTGCCTCCCATGCAAAACGATGGAAGCTCTACTAAAGGGCGTTATACAGCAATTTTGTGAAGAAAATAACATCTTGCAGGATCTTGAGCACGGCTTCCGGAGAGAACCTTCCTGCCTCCCAAATCTAATAGTTTGTCTGGAAATCTGGACCAGGGCTCTAGAAGAGGTATTTGAGGTCGATGTCGTGTACATCGATTTCCGCCAAGGTTTCGCTACTGTTCCGCACCAACGTCTTCTTCACAAACTGAGCGCCATCGGCATCCGGGGAGATCTTCTGAACTGGATTAGGGCGTTTCTGGCTGGTCGGAAGCAATGTGTTTGTATCGGAGATGATATGTCAGGAAATTTGAAGATAAGTGGAGGATATTATTTTAAGTGGTTCTTCTGTGAGACCTAACGATTTTAGTACCTGTTTTTTGGTTGAGTTTCCTAACATACAGGCCTCTTCTCTCAGAACTGCCTGCTGCTATCTCCTTTTGAGTTCTGCTAGTCTATGCCCATTGTTCACTAATCGCATTCTGCAATTCTCATTTTGTGCATCCGATTTCTGTCTAACTGTTGTAATTTATTTTTACATCGTTAGCCCCTAGCTGAAATTCAGTCAACTTGTCTGCCAGAAGTTTTCTTAATCACAAATTGCCTCGAGACAAGATGAGACCAAAAGTCACTGGTCGACGTAAGCTCTCGGCTCTTGTAAGTAAACATGGCCTAACTAAACGTAAGTCAGAAGCTTTACCTAAATCTAAGTCAGATGATATTACTAGTCAGTCGTCACCCGTTGTAATTTGTCGGCAGTTTAATCTGTCTGCACTTGACCACTGCAATGACTTTATGCTAAAGTTTGGCTCTTTGCTGACAACTCTTGGACATTTATGTGACGGGAACATCTCCGATATTCCCTCTGAAGAATGTAGGCGTCTCGACTCACTTTTTCACCTGATCGCCAGTGAATCTGGTGATAGACAGAGGCGTTCTTACAACTTCCTGCTAAAAAATGTTCCTCGATCTGCTCGGCCGATTGATGTTGCGACCAATTTCCTGTATTCATGTGGTTTCAACTACAAAATAGCCGATTCCAAACGCTTGTCCTCCCGTAGCAAAAATCCACTCATCTTAGTCAAATTGTTTTCATCAATCGAGGTTGACACAATCTTTACCCATCGAGAGCGTGTCACTGCGTACCTAGAAAAGGCAAAATCTTTCCTTTGTCATGATCTTACTCCTATGGAGCGTAGAATCGGGTCTCTATTCTCACGTTAACCCACTGCTTCTCAGTCTAATGCTCCCCAACTCGGTCATAATACAAGTGGCCGTAAGGATTCAGCTTCTCCTACTCCTGCGACATCTGACTCCCTCCTTCCTCTTTCTCCTACATCTCCATTTCACTCAAGCCACTTGACGCATTTGCCTGCCCCTAAAGTTGCAGCAGCAGCAGCAGCCCCATTTGTCGTTTCGTATCCTCCGGATAGTCCCGCTGAGACACATGAAAATCCGTCTACATCAGCTAGACCGATAACTTCTATTGTCCAACTGGGTGCTGTAAGGTCTACAGCTAAGTCACCCGTGGCTTGGCGTCAGAACGGTGAGACTCGAAAATCGAATCAGACTCCGACCCAAAAGATAGGTAGTACAATTCCATTTAGGGGTACGACGCCTTCTCTGCTCAGCCCTGCACGTCTACAAACCCCGCAGCTCCAATTATATCCCCGAATAATTCTCTGTCATGCGTACCGGTTACTTATCAAAGCCCTACTATATATCCAGCAAATAATTCATACATGAATTGCCCTAAATCATTTATGCCCCAACCTAGTTCAGGCTTCCCACCACTTAAGGCCAATTGCTCTCAGGTACGTCAACCTATCGCCTTTGACTTCCAATCTAGACCTGGTTTCCCACCATTTCATTCTTTTAGTGGCCTACCCTCACCCATTAGCCCCTACTTTCCTTCTAGCCTCCCTCCTCCTCCCCTTTCTCCATTATTTAACTACCAACAAGTCTATTCATGTTCTAACTCCCCTAGCATTCCAATGTTTGAAAACTATATCCCCACCTCCTTTAGGTCTTATACTCAGCCTTCTCTTGCTGACTCCCCGTACGTCAATAACTCTAGACTAACTGGTACTTATTCTCCAAGTGTCATTAATTCACAGCTTACATATCCGCCTCCAATTTTTTTTAAAATACCGTCGAAAATAGCATTGCCGTTCGAAACACATTAGATATTATATTATTGAATGCCAGGTCTGTTATAAACAAGATGGCCCAAATCAGAGCCATTGCTCTGGAAATGACGCCTGATATTATATGTGTAACAGAATCTTGGACGCATTCTCTAATTCCTGACTCTGCCCTTCTCATAGATGACTTCGATTTTTACCGCCAAGACCGCACGACTAGGCGTGGGGGTGGTTGTCTTCTTTATCTTAAATCCTACCTAAAGCACTCTCCCTATTACTTGGATGTTTCCTCATTCACGGGAAACTTCTGCTTTGCATCTGTTATTCTCTCGCCGCAAAGAAAGGCAATTATTGGCTGTATCTACAATCCCCCAAATTCTTTAGCCAGTGATGATTCTCAACTCTGTGAAATCTTTAAATTAATTTCTGAAGTTGCTTTCGATGTTAAAATAATCACTGGGGATTTTAACCTTCCTGAAATAGACTGGGTTTCCAATAGCTGCCCACCCAGATTCCAGCCCTTTCAAGATATTGTCAATTTTTCT